GCTCTTCCCCGTCGTCTACAGCGCCATCTTTGTGCTGGGGGTCGTCGCCAACAGCTACGTGCTGTGGGTCTTCGCCCGCCTGTACCCCTCCAAGAAGTTCAACGAGATCAAGATCTTCATGGTGAACCTCACCGTGGCCGACCTGCTCTTTCTGGTCACCCTGCCCCTGTGGGTCATCTACTACTACAACCGGGGTGACTGGCTTCTCCCCAAGTTCCTGTGCAACCTGGCCGGCTGCTTCTTCTTCATCAACACCTACTGCTCCGTGGCCTTCCTGGGCGTGATCACCTTCAACCGCTTCCAGGCAGTCACTCGGCCCATCAAGACCGCCCAGGCCACCACCCGCAAGCGTGGCATCTACCTGTCCCTGGTCATCTGGGTGGCCATCGTGGCCGCCGCGTCCTATTTCCTGGTGCTGGACTCCACCAACACGGTGCGTGGCAGGCCCGGCCCGGGCAACGTCACGCGTTGCTTCGAGCACTACGAGCAGGGCAGCATGCCGGTCCTCATCATCCACATCTTCATCGTGCTCAGCTTCTTTGTGGTCTTCCTCGTCATCCTCCTCTGCAACCTGGTGATCATCCGCACGCTGCTGGCACAGCCGGTGCAGCAGCCGCGCAACGCCGCGGTCAGGCGCCGGGCGCTGTGGATGGTGTGCGCGGTGCTGGCCGTGTTCGTCATCTGCTTTGTGCCGCACCACCTGGTGCAGCTGCCCTGGACGCTGGCCGAGCTGGGCTACCGGAGTGGCCGCTTCCACCAGGCCATCAACGACGCGCACCAGGTCACGCTCTGCCTGCTCAGCGCCAACTGCGTCCTGGACCCCGTCATCTACTGCTTCCTCACCAAGAAGTTCCGCAGGCACCTCACCGAGCGGCTCTACAGCATGCGCAGCGGCCGCAAGTGTTCACGTGCCACCACCGACACCAGCCCGGGCACTGAGGTGGTGGTGCCGCTCCACCCTGTCCTCTGCGGCTCCCTCAAAAACTAGCCCTGCAGGGGGGCGCCAGGCCGAAGCCCTCTCCTGGACGTCACGACTGAGCTGGGGGCGAGGGTTCTGCTGTGGCCTGGGCACTCCCCGAGCACCCTCCCCACTGGGCCAGGGCCCGACCCCTGGAGAGCCTGGAACCCGCGGACAAAGCTGGGACCTATACCTATACCTGTCCCGAGCCCCTGGTCCAATGGGGCTGGAGGGACTCAGGGCAGGTGCAGACCCGGGGTGGGCTTCCAGCTGTCCAGACCCGAGCGGGGCAGTGGCCTGGAGCTGTGGGCAGCCACTCCCCAGGGCGAAGGCAGAGGACGCCCGCCTGGCAGTGTCCTCACCAGCATGGCATGGCCGGTTGAGCAGTACTTCTAGGGAAGTGCTCAGGCAGCCTCTCCCCACCTGGGTGGGAGAAGAGAACCAGCTGCACCATCAGCCAGCCCTGGCGCTTCCTGAGGCCACCGCCTTCACCTTCCTGTCTCCATGGCGGGCTCTGTAGGGGAGGGCAGCCACCCAACTTGGGCAGATAAAGGCCCCTCAAAGCAGTGAGGCCCCCGGCTGGGGCTGCTCAGTGTCAGAGGTTTCCTTGGGGCAGGCTCTCTGCCTGGAAGTCCCTGAGGCCTCTGGGTGGACAGAGCAGGTCAGGCTTCCCCAGGGCCATGGGTCAACCTCCCTGGGGTCTCTGGCTGGCTGCCATGACAACTGGTGAATGCAGTCCGGTCAGCCTCCTGGCCTCGCCCCTGCGGTGTGGACCTGGCTGGGGCTCAGGGCTTGACAGGGGCTTCCCTGGTTTCCAGGACTTTGTGCGTTTTCTGTTTCTTGTCTCCTGGCTCGGGTTTTGCTAACGCCCCCTGCTGAGCCAGTAGCCTGCCAGGTCTGGGGTGGCCTGAGGGCCAGCAGGGAGCTGTCTCCTGCAGAGCTTCCTGCCTTCCAGGGCTGTGGCCCGCAGCAGGCCTCAGCAGACGCCTCCTTGGGCAGCTGTCTTTAGGACCTGCACCTGCTGAGAGCAGCGCCCTCACTGCTCTGAGGGGAGCGGGAAGGATGGGCAGGTGGGATGGGCTGTCAGCTCCGCAGGCCACTTAGGGGCGCCCAACCTTGGGGCTGTGAGTGTGAGTCCCTGTGTGCCTGCACCGACTGGGCGGGAGGGACCTGCCCAGGGGCCGAGGTGCAGAGCCCTGTGCTCAGGAGCTGGCGACTGGGCGGTGCTTGCGGGACCCAC